CCCTCCCCCCCCCTTCCACAGGTACAGCTCCAAGTGGAAGCCATATTCCTCTCCGACGTCCTCAGGGGTGACGAGACGACCGAGATTAGGGTCACGCTCAAGCGGTATTTGGAGGAGGAGGTGCCGGCTGGGGAGGATTAGCCTGCTGGGGAGGATTAGCCTGCTGGGGAGGATTAGCTGGCTGGGGAGGGGGGAAGGGGGAAGGGGAGGGGTTGGTGTTAGGATTGGGTGCGATAGGAGCAGGGGATGCACGTAGGCAGGGGAATGATTGTATTATAGACTATGAACGTGACCATAAAGCTCTTAGGGCACTCAACACCCCCCCTCCCTCCTCCCTCCCTCCCATGCGCACACCACCCACCGCCATCCTACACATGACATGCTATCAGCCGCCTCCCACCCCCCAGAAAAACCGACTCACGTAACATACCCCCTCCTCTCAAGCCTATTCATCCTCCTCGCAGTCCTAGCGTTCGACTGGGTATTCTGCCCCCGCACCGGGAAGCCCATCGCGTGCCTCCTCCCTCTATACGTCCCAATCTCCCTATAATGGGCGATATTCTCTCTCACAACCCTGCGTCCTTCACTTTCGAGCTTGAGCAGGGCGAGGTCGTCCATCCTCTTACTCCTTTCCGGAGCCGGAAGGGGGTCGCTCAAGCTAGCCCGGAAACCGGGAGGAGCCCGCTGACATCTCAGAGGGGGCGCAACCGTACTGGGGGAAGAGAGGTAAGCGGAGAGAGCGGAGATTTGGGGGTCGGTGAGCTCGCTAACTCGCGTACGGAGGTGGATTTGGAATCGGGAACAGAGCCGTTGGGAGAGGTGGTAGTTGAGTCCGTAGAAGGAACGGAGGGCGCGCTAGAGGGCGAGGGAGGGTGAGTGAGGGTATGGGTGTGAGGGGGAATGGTGTGAGGGAAGGAGAGCGTACGTATACCAAATGTCCATCAGGTAGGTTCACGCCTAACAAATGCATCTTGGATGTGGACGATGCAGAAGCGTGAGTGAAATTACACTCAATGAAAGGCTAAAATGGTCTGAATAGTACACAGCCACTATTAGGTTATATGGCTTCCTAGTCACGACATCCCCTTCAACGGGCGGTCATCATTGCTCATGCTCTCATACACGACACATTGCTAGTACTTGTCCTGTCCATGTCAGATCAACAGCACACCCATCCCCAAGGGCAACAACAACACCGCGCCATCCTACTCCTCCCCCTCCCCACACTCCTGCACATCCAACACCCCTCCCACCTCTGCCCACCCCTCGAGGTCGTCTCCCGTCTCCCCCTCTCCCGCCTCCTGATAATACTCCATTCCCCGTTCTTCCTGCCCTACCCGCAAGGGCTGCACATCAGACAGCACTGGACCGCGCTTCAGAGGTTGCTCGCAGTCGTTTATGTGGAAGCGACGAGGGAGGCGGTGTGGAGAGGCGAGTGGGAGAGGAGGGTTGAGGTGTTGCTCGAGCCGCTAGAAGGAGAGTGGGAGGAAGTGGCAAGGATAGGAGTGGAGTGGGATACATTGTACTATTGTTCCGGAGGTGCGCTTTCCTTCTCCCTATCCCTATCTCAATCCCTATTCCGGTCGCTCATCCCTCGCAGACGAACCTGTTATCTCACCTACCCACCCGCTCGCCCCCATCCCGCGACACCCGCTCCCTCCCCCGCAGCTCCCCTCCTTCCCCCCTCTCCCCCTCCCCCTCTCGACACCCCCCTCCCTCCCCTCCACACACAACATCACCGCCCTAGGGGGGACGTTCGACCACCTACACGCCGGTCACCGGATCCTCCTCTCCTCCTCGCTCCTCCTCACCCAATCCCTCGTAGTAGGGCTCACCTCCCCTCTCCTCCTCCAATCGAAGAAGCACGCGGAACTGCTTCAGAGCCTGGAGATGCGCACGAGAGCGGTACAGGAGTTTTGTACCCTGTTTAGGCCGAGTGTGAGGGTTAGGTGTGTGGAGATTAGGGATGTGGCGGGGCCGACGGCTTGGGATCGGGGGATTGACGCGCTTGTCGTTAGTCGTGAGACAGTAGCAGGGGCCGAAGCGAGTACGTCCCATCCCATCCCCCCCATCCCACCATCTCTCCCCCATCCCACTTCACCCCCGCAGCCTAACATACTCCCAGTAGCGACCCTCCGCGCACAAGCCTCCCTCCCCCCACTCGAAGTCTACGTCATAGACGTCATCTCCTCCTCCGACCCGAGTTTGCCGCATGAGGATGAGCAGAAGCTGAGGGAGGGGAAGATTAGTAGTAGTGCTATTAGGGGGTGGTTGGCTGAGAGGGAGGGGCGGGGGGTGAGGGGGCAGGAGCTGGAGAGGGAGAGGGGGGATGAGAGGGAGGGCAAGCAGGACAAGCAGGAGGGCAGGGACAAGCAGGAGAAGGAGAACAAGGTGGACGATAGGGTGGACCAGCGGGTGGGGCAAGAAGAACCAAATCCGACGCACACCACTGCGCAACAGGAACAAGAACAAGAGGAGCAGAACAAAAACCGACCAGCCGAGGCAGGGACCAACCAGCCAACAGAAGAGGAACAGGAAGGAAATTAGACTGTTTTGTAGTTATCGGAAGGACGCGCTTGAGGATGGATCGAGATAGGAACGACATGTACAAGTACAAGTATGAGTGCCTAAGCCTAATGTACACTACTTTATTCCTACATCCCCCGGTCGGCTAAACGACCACCACATGCACCTTTCTAGCTCTGGCTCACTAACCGAACCCCCCCCCCCCTTCGCTCTCCAACCTGTGGCGCGACCTGGGGTATCACGTGACCTCACGGGCGCTTTCACGGCGACGTCCGATATGTACGTACATCCCCCCAGGGAGAGTACTGTTAGTGGAATAGAGGCTCCGACGTGAGTAAGCCTGGAGAGCAAGACGGGAGGGACGGAGCACTTGACGAAGGAGGCCCGGAGAAATAGACTGCTTGGCGGAATATAGGGAGGAGGCATGTTGTTTGAGATCATGCTTAGGTGGACGGAGTGTACACCTGAGATGGATTGGAGCTAAATGGATGGATTGGGTTATCCCGCATGCATATGTAACATGTACAAGTACAATTAATGTACACCATCGTATGCCTACACCGTCCCCCAGTGGGCTAAATCCCAACCCCATCCATCCACCTCTCTACCTCGGTCACGACCTTCCCCACCCCATCCCCATCCCCCCCGTCCAGCCCCTCAAGCTCTAGCAGTTCTACACCCCAGTCACGTACGATCCTATTCTCCTTTCTCTGTTTTTCGGCAGCTGGGGGCGTATCGACTACCAGGATGGGAAACCTTGGTTCATAGGTGAACTCCCACTCCGCTTCTTGTACCTCTCTGCTTTGCTCCGGAGAGCCAGGTTTAACACCGAGATCTCTCATGCGATCAGCTACTGAACGCACGCTCGTAGGTGGCTGGAGGAGTACGAGCGCTTTGACAGGAAAGTCGGACACGTACGCTTGGGCAAGTAGGCATCCCATCCCACGGGCGAGGAGTACCGGGGGCCAAGCAAGTGCCGTAAGCCTGAGAGAGGCTCGGAGGGCTTGTGTAAGCCCGGTGAAGGGGGAGAGGGGCTTCTGTGTTGCGGTGGGTGTTGCTCTGCGAGGAGGGGCAAGCGGGGGGTGAGGGGAGGGGGAAGAGAGAGGAATGTCGATCGTTATACTCCTATACCCTCGTAGGGAATAGAGGGCAGACATCTGGTCAAACCTAGGAAGCCGTTAGCATCTTCTCCAGGTAGCAGACCGACGAGAACAGAGTCAGAACTCAGAACGAACACGCTCACCCATCCCCACTCCCCTCCCACTCTCGGACACTAACGAAGACCAAAGGTGTAGGCACTTCCCTCGTCGCGCCCGGATCTGGCTCTCGCACGATTAGGCTAGGCTTGGGCGTGAGCGTGGAAGGTGTCCAGATGCTGCGGCTGCGAGGGATGGAGCGCTGTGCTCTAGATCTGTTGATGAGGGTGCGGTGGAGAGCTGGCCGCATTTCGGATTTGGGCGTCGCTTACTTGTGCTGGCTGTACAGTGATTGGGATCGGAAGAGGACTGCGAGCGATGAAGGAACTTGGAGCACAGAATGACGTAACTGGAAATCCGGTTCCGCCACCTCGGCCGCTTTCGAGTATACACGAGAAGTGTGCTCTGTGCCTGTGCCCTTGCGCGCCTCGGATGCAATTTGCCTCATAGCTTCCTTAAATGGTAAGCAACCTTTGGATTGCACAAGTAATGTGTGCAACTTTTAATGTACACACAAAATTATTATTATCAAATGAGACTTTTGTGTGTGGAATTCACTAAGATCTAGTATACATTTCAACAAAAATAGAGAGCCAATTAATTACAATTTGGGGCCAAAAAAACTCAATTTACTGGGAAAGTGTTGTGGGAGAGCACACCACACCCTCAGTGCCTTTGGCTGACCACACCAAATGGTGAGGAGGAAATTTTATTCAATTTTCAGCCAATTTATACTAATTAACTATGCATTTTTTTGGTAAAATAAATATAACTATATTAGTGAATTCCACACACAAAAGTCTCATTTGATAATAATAATTTTGTGTGTACATTAAAAGTTGCACACATTACTTGTGCAATCCAAAGGTTGCTTACCATTTAAGGAAATTATGAGGTAAATTGCATCTGAGGCATGCAAGGGCACAGGCACAGAGCACACTTGTTGTTGCCCCTTGCTGCTTTCTGACCCAAGTGGGGTGTCAGATGCCAATGTCATGTGTCATGTTTGCCCAGCTTCATTTTGGTGGTGTCATGCTTCAACTGCCTCCCAGGAGCAGGCAGTTATGAGGAGAGTGGAGGAGGTCAGCAGGTGGGAGCATATGGTGGTACATCTCTACTGACATCCTTTCCCATACCATTGTGTCTCTCACCCTTCTCATTCACCCTGTCCTTCTCATGCCACATGTTCCTTCTGCCATTCTTTGATGCAAATGTATGCTCATGACTTTGTTGCATAGATGATGGGCTGTGGGTGCACAAGTATCAGTGTGTGCTTCAGGGTGTGCTAAGTGACCAGCATATGTGCTCATTGTCATGTCTAGGTATGTTGCTCCTCCCCCAACTCTGCTCAAACCTAAGGGCTGTGCTGGTAATGCCCATGCTGATGGGTGCATGGACTAAAGACATGTGCATCTGGATGACTATGCTGGGACTATGCTGCTTGGAGTACATTGGGTCATGTCAGGGCAACACAGGCTGACTAAGTCTGCTCACCTAAGAGTGCCAAGAGTCTAAGCAGGCAACAAGGAAGTGGAGTAGACCTGATGACTAAGACCTATCTACAGTATAGGTATCTGTGGATGATCCTAAGAGACCAAGTCTGAAGAGACAGTCCCCAGGCAGAGTAGGCCTTATATTGATACCTCTGTGGTGGAACCTGCTAGAACATTTTGCTTACTCAGCCTAGTCAGGTGATCAGGTCATATGAGGTCATGCACAGCCATGCACAGCAGGTCACCTGACCATCCAATCCTTCCAGCAGGTTCCAGCACATGCCAAGGTATACCAGCTACTTCCATGTCATAAAGGCTTAGTCATGTCTCTTGACCAAGCAATGAGCTGGTGCCCTGACAATAGCCTTCACCTCCTCCCCAGGGTCTATGAGCACCAGCTTGCCTGGCTTGATCATCCAGTCATTGTTTGTCAATGTGTAATCCTCACCTTGGTTCTGGCCTGACATCCCAAGATCAGATGCAAGACCAAAGCCAAACCAGGCCCAGCTACACAGGTGGCTGCCTGCAATGGCCCACCCACACCCTCTCCTCTCCATCCCCCCTCTGCACTCCTATTCATCCACACTCACACCCTTGCCCATGGTGTGAGCAGGCTCATGCATCCTCTCCCTCCTTGCCCATCCTCTGCTGGTGACTGGATGCATCCCTGCTCAGCATGAGGGACAAGACTAGTGCTTCAGGAAGCTGGAAGATGGAGCATGGCAGAGTCCTTGTACAGCACAGTGATGAAGGGGCAGAGCAAGTCTCTTGGTGTGAGTCACCCCAACATGCATGATGCAATGGCTAAGCTGGCATCAACATATCAGCACCAAGGATGATGAGGGGAGGTGAAGAAGCTTCAAACTGCAGTATTGGAGGCCAGTCAGTGGGTGCTCAGCAAGGGCCATCCAGACATGCTCAGTGTAATGGCTGACCTGGCAGTGACATGCATGAGCTAGTGACAATGGAGTGATTCAGTGACCCTGCTGAAAGAGGTGCTAAAGGCAAAGCAAGGATGCACACCTCAAAAGCTGAGACCAATGGATCCCTTTGCAAGCCTAATGCAAGGATTGACAGATAGTGGGCAATTAAGCCCACAGGCCAGCATGGGTGAGGGGACTGAATGAGAGTTGATGCTTCTTTTGTGCTGCACACAAACAATCCATTCTGATAAGTAAGCAATGACACATGGAGTCATGATGACTTGCTTCACACAGGCATGTATGCTGCTGACCTATGCTCTTGCTCCTTCAAAGTTGACATCAGGTACACTTGATCAGAATGCACATGATCTCTGCAGCCTTCAGGAACTCCTTGGGCAGATCTGCAAAGATGTGTAGTCAGTCTTTTGGGATGTGATGGCTGCTTGTTGGACATTACTGGGGTTCATTCCTGAAAATGGGCATGAGTTGGCCACAATATCAGCCATCTGGAAGGCTGCTTTTAGCATCATCATTTGGAAATGGTCTTGTCAGCCTGACAGCCTCATCAGCTCCATAGCCAGTTACCTCCTTTGATGGTGTGGACCTCAACTCATGTTGATGCATGACTTCAAAGTTGTTCAGAGCCTTCTGGCTCTGAGGCATATCAATTCTTCTGGCAAAGAGAGACCTGGAGTACAATGAAGTTGGTCAGATGCTCTCTTCTGCACACATGCCAATGTGAGCTGAGAGACAGACTGGGGCAACAGGCTCTTGACCTCATACAGCTGGACAGCCTTCTGGAGATCTTTCACAATTCTGCACTCATGCCTCAATCTGGGTGATGGTGGTCTTCCAGAGGCTGGGTTCTGGCCAGTCCAGGCTTTGTAGCACATTTTGTAGCAAAGCCCACATCTCCTGGGCTCTCTCCCCTATCTTCTGGTCAAAATGTGTGGCTGTTGCTCTACATTCAAAGTTAATTGGAAAGCTGAACTGAATGCTGATGACTTCTGGAGATGAATGAACACATGCTCCAGGATGGCCTGTCCTCTTTCCATCACAGCATGTTTAGCCTCATCAATAGCCCTCAGTTCAAGCAACCTGAGATAAAGCACAGCAGCCTCATGTTCTGGGGTTGCATTTCAGTGCAAGACCTGATGTGGTTCTGCAGCTGCTCACACACCAGGTCCTTTGTGACCATTGGGAAATGTATATGGCATCTTCTCAGGTGTGGTCAGGACACCCTCGAGGCCTGCACCTGGATGTCCTGATGCCCTCTGATGGTGGTGCCTTGAATACCATTGTGTTGGGTCAGATGGCAGGCACACTCCATGCCTGCATGGGACTAGTATATCACATCCCTTTGATCCAACATCATGCCCTGTGGAACTCCAAATCATGGCAAACAATGCTCATGCTAGTCATGACTCTCTGTCATGGACTCACACAATGTCCACAGCCTCAAAGATAGCCCCCTTGTATTGTCAGTGAGCCTCTGGGGAGAGCTGGTGAGAAGGTGTTGCAGCATCAGCACCCTGTGATTGACCTTTTGCTGACTGCAGCTTGCAGTTCCTTGCAGCCCCTCATGCCACCCTTACCAGCCTCCTCCTAACCACCCTCCCCAAAAATCAGGACAGCACCTTCCTAATGATGTCCCACCAGGGAGCATCCATTGTCATCCCATTGATGTTGAACCTATCCCCACTCTCAAATGACCAGCATGAAAGCCAAATGACCAGCATGAAAGCCCATTGTCCCCTGTTGAGCATGGAAGAGGTGAAGCACAAAGACCATCACTGATCTCAGATGGTGGCAGAAGGCAATATTCCCCCATATGTCTGCATTCCATTCAGAGCTGTCCTGCTATCAAGGCTGAGCCTCAAACAGCCCAATGATGAGGACTTTTCCTTCTATGGTGTGGATGAAAGCTTGTCAGATGGTTCCTCACAAATACCCACTGACCAGGGTATGCACAGCATGTACATGCTCCACTCATTTGATAGCTCATGTCCTCCTAGATAAGCATGTTTCCTTCAGCAGTGCCTGGGGGCTGGATAACCATGAGTTGGGTCTGATGGATGCTGAATCTATCACTGGTGACTTCCTCAAGACCCTTGAGCTGCCCAAAGACATTAAAGACCTCTTCTGACAAGGTGTCCTCTCTGGTTCCTGTTCAATTCTACCTGAGGCCATGAGAGCCCATGCAGTTTCACAGTTGGTCCTCATTGCCAAGGCATCTCATGGCATCATCATAGTCCTAGCTGGGGAATGGACAACAGGGTCATTGCCAGGACTGGCAAAGTCAATCCCCTTCCCAATCAAGGCTCATACAACTTGTTCCCTGACTCTCTTCTCTGCTGACCACATACATGCAGGGATTTCAGAACCAGTTTTCATATTTGACTGTATGATTTACTTCCAAGTCTATCTAGCCTTGCTCAAAATAGGCACTCAGAAAATCTAAGCTCCATTCTGTCCAAGCAACACTCTTTATAGCCAAACAGCTGCCACTGACTGGGAAGCCTTCAATCACATTTTCATGAAAGTATGGGAGGTGTCAACCTCCTTCTCAAACATCCCCAGCAAGATAGCCTTGAGTATTGTTGCCACTGAGTGGCTTTCCTTGGACCAGGCATTCCTAAAACTATCCCCAGAAACACCCGCAGAATGCCAAATATGAAGCTGGCAGCAGATTGCAGATGTCCAACTTGTCTGCAGCCTGTGGCTACAGGAGCTTATGAAAACAGAGACCATGGTCTGGCCATTGGCCCTGGGCAGCCCCCTTTGAAGCAGCAGAAAAAAGCCTTGTTGACACAAACCTGTGACCCAGCTACCAACCCTCCTGACAAATGGAATACCAAGAGGTTGTGGGGTGAGTTCAAGACCCATGTGCACAATCTGGAAACCTTGGTTTGCAATGGTTGTCAGACAGGACATGGTGAATGGTACCATCATCACATTGACATGCTTATTGATGATGATGTTTTGCTTGAGAACTCATGGCCACATCACATCTTGACACCTCCTCACAAGCAGCATCATAAACTCACCATCGGGATGAAACCACTGGCACTTACTTCCACTAGCTCTCCACTCTTGGACATTCCATTGAGTCCAACAAGGGGTTTGGGAGCATAGCCTGAAAAGCAGGATGCATAATATATTATAGTAACTATGTTTATTGAAATGCATGAGAATTTTCCATCCAATGAGCCAGCTGCTGAAGAAAGATGACCAGGCAGGGTGCATGCAAACATCCTTGTGATGGCAATTTCTTGTTTAAACATTTGTCAATATAACAGGCCTAGCCAGCTCCTTATTGTCCAGCAACTGCTTGCAAGATTGCCCAATCTGTTTGAGGTAATTATTGAGCAAGGAGATGCCTTCTGCCTTGAGCTCCCCAAAAGATCGATCACAAGTGTGTGATATCCCAACTCAGTTGCAATTCTTTGTGCAAGAGCCATGTGTGTTTGAGCAGTGATCCAACCCAAGAGGTGTCTGAAATATTGGGTGTCCAAATATATCAGTCTGATGGGAGGTGTGCAAGAACTTGCAGGGGAAAGAGGGGGAAAAGTCAGTAAAGTCACAGGTGCCAAAGTCAGTCAGTAAATCAGAGGTGCAGTCAATCATGATAAGTCAAGTCAAATATGCTAAGTCAAGTCTGCCAGTGCAATAATCAGATCTGTATAAATGCTAATGGAAAAGGGGGCAGATAAGCTAAGTACAGGAGTTTTTGGAAACTACTTATACTAGCTACTCTAGGCTGTGCTCAATACTAATCTTGTATCTGGATACCTCACCAAGGCAGAGGTTGGCATGCCAAATATCTGGGTGGGTCAATCCCATTGTGAGGGAAACCAGTAGTTGTCATGCCAAATATTTGGAGAGTCAAGACTCATTGCAGGGGTCTGTTGTCCATGTTGTGAGGGTCCGTAGTGCTGTGCAACAGTCTCCAAGGGTCCACATATGCATGGGAATACTGGCCTGACACACCCCACCAAAGGTGGGGTTGTTCAGCAGGTGGTGAAGAGGCATGCAGGTAGTGAAGAGGTGCATGGGTAGTGAAGAGGCATGTGGGGGTTGATGAGGGGTGTGGGTCATGAGGGGGCAAGTGGGCAGGGATCTGCTTGCACATGGGTAGTGTCACCAGGTGCTGATCACCTTCCAGACTATATCTTTGGGCTGCCATGATGGTGTGCTTGGCAAGGTGGGGAGTGAGAAGTTGGCACTAGCAGTGCATCCACATTGTGTTCCTTGGCACTGGCAGACCTGGATGGGATCACTAGGCAGACACATAGCCACTGCTTGGGTTTGGCATAGATGCAGGTAACCCTGGCTTGGCACTCCTCTCGGAGATGCGGCTCCGAGGCGTTGCTATGCATTCCTGTGCACGTGTGCTGTGCTGGACGGATGGACCCCATCACGTCCGCGGTTGTAGGGACATAAGCGGGTGAACGTGTATAAAAGGCTTGGCCTGCTGGCTCTCCTACCTCATCTCGCCCTCTACAACAGCGAGCCTTTACCAACCAGATGGAGAACATCCTCAGCGCGTTCATGGGCGGTGGAGGTGGAGGAGGCGGCATGGGCGGCATGGCTAGCATGCTCGGCGGCGGAGGAGGCGGAGGGGGGATGATCAATATGCAGCAGGCTGAACAGCTCCATGGGCAGATGTACGCCTATCAGGGGTATGTGCAGCCGGAGCATAAGGCTAGCTGGACGCATGAGGGTACGTCTTCTTTCATTCCTTTCCACGACTGCCCAGTACTCATATTTGTGCCTTAGCCATCGCAGCTGCCGCCGGGTTCGCAGCTATGAAAGCCTGGGAATCGCACCTCCGCGCAACGGGTCAACAGCCTACACACGAAACGATGAAAGAGATCCTGGCCGCGATCGCCGCAGCCGAAGTGGACCGTTTGGCCGAAACGAAAGGACTCGATTTTATCGATCGCGAGCGGGCGAAGCACCAGGCTGTCGCCCAGGCGCACGCGTTCGCCAATGAACGGTATCGCGGTGGGACGGGGGCGGAGTATGCTCAGCAGTGGGGCGGCCCTGCCCAGGAATATCAGTGGAATGGAGGGTATGGGCAGTACCAGGGCTGGCATCAGCAGTACCAGCAGGGGCCGTGGGGTGGGTACGGGGGAGGAGGGTACGGACCGCCTGGTGGGGGATATGGACCTCCTGGTGGGGGATATGGGCCTCCGGGAGGAGGGTACGGGCCGCCTGGTGGGGGGAACGGGCCTCCCCCTGGAGAGTGGGAAGGCGGTGAGAGGCACCATCATCATCATCACCATCGCGAGAACTGGTGAACGCGCATGTATGCGTGTGTTAGAGCCAGGCGCCGGGCGCTGGGCGCTGTTCTGAGATACATACCCAGAGATGGGAACTGTCCTTTGTGCTTGTTTGTAACTGATCGAGAATATGAATCCAAAGATGTGTGCTTGTATATGTAGTCCCTAACTGCCCGAGCGATGTCCCTCTACAATCGTCCCAACAGCTATCAAAGCTCAAATTTGTCTACTCCCGAACATCACATCCCCTAGAACTCAGCCTCCACTTGCTAGACATTGCCATCCTCTCACATGAGGAGCACTTCGCTTCTAGCGCCGGAGCTTCACATTATATTGACTTGTTAACCTGTTGACTATGAATGGGGGATATAGGTATCACAGGACTGGACGGACAACATTGGCAAATGGAGGCAAAAGAAACTAGTCCCCAATGCTCACACCTTCCCATGCACAATCAAGTGAGAGACTCAAAAGCTGTGCACCCGATTCGTAGTGCCAGCTTATTATAGGATTTCTCCAACTTGGAAATATCGTTAGCAAGTTGCAAAAGCCGTGGACTGTATGATGACTCACTCGTGCCAGCCTGGTCTGAGTCTTCCCAAGCTCAGTCCACATCTCACCAATGTGCTGTTCAAGATCGGAATGTCGTCTTTCTTGAGCACGTTCTGTACCTTCTCAAGGTGACCAGTGGCACCGAGAATAATTGACTTTCCTGGCGGTACGTTGGACACCGGCATAGCGGGAAGTGGCGTTGCATTAGCAGACATTATATGACGGTCCCGTGAGAGGTCGGTGAGTAGGACCCTCGCGTCAAGAGTTGATGACTCGCATATTTTCTGCTGACTTTGATTCCGACGCTTCTTTCTTGCTGGTCTCGGATCAGTATGTCACTAGCCGGATAGTCAATAGACATACACGTTTTCATAATGATATATCCGTTGTGAACCCACTAATACTCGAACTTAGCACCAGGTTTTTGCCATGTCCACACCCCACAATCTAATGTCCGCCGTTCCTTCAGGCTGTCGCCCATAATGGCGCATCACCTCGTCCCTCGATGACTTTACTCCCAGCAAGCATGTATTGGTGCAAGGTCCTTCTCCATGTATCTGCATCAGGATGAGACTGGGATATAGTCATCCATGAATCGAATAGCCATTCTCTATCTTGCCACTCTGTCATTGGTGGTGGGAAACCGACGTGCCGAACCAAGGCTCTCAATTGTAAGCAAACAAAACGCGGTTCGCAAAGGATCCAGAGGTCAACATAGCGTAGAAAACCCTTAAAGGTCAACATTGGTTCATCACTATAACGAAATACAAATTAGGCAGGACGCTGATGTATGATTTACAAAACTCACTTCGATTTGGCGTACTCTAGGCCAAACGCTTGATAGACTTCCTCCAGTGCGTCATCCTTGTATATTTGCGTGATACCCGAGTTTCTTACAGTTCCTTCTAAGAACTGCAGCCGACGTTTTGTAATGTAAGGGACATCACTCGGTTGTTTTGCCCCTGATGACAGATCAGCATCTATCGGTTCACTCGGACATGTAACATACAAATCCAAGTACACAATGCTTCCACAAAATGCTGCAACTTGGGAGTCGGACCACCTGAAGGATGAACAAGGGCTTCTTTCCCAGCCGGATGGTCTTTGTGGGTATCATCCCCGTCAAGTATATCATCAAAAGGTGCTCGAAGCCGTTTGATTGGTACGATTGGTAAGGTGAAGGCTGGGTTTGTCCAGACCCAATCGTCGGATGATTGATATGCAGCAGGGACGTGGTTGAAAGAAGATGTCGAATGCTCCACTTCACCTTCATCTAACTGTGCGTCTTCCCAACCATCGTCATGTTCCACGATTGGAGCAGAAGCGTTAGTTAAACCAGAAGCAGTCGCACGGCGTGATAATCTTCCAGATCGACGTGGGCATGCCCTCCAGTCCTCGGGTTGATCATATTCAGTCGGAGCGAAACGAACGGGCGACTTTGGTCGATTCGATCTCTCGGGGGACTTCCCTCGAAGAGCGCTACGAAGTCGAGGGAACGTGCCCCTGCCAGATCGTTCGGAACCGGTAAATGACTGTGAGTCTGGAGGTATTGCATACCGAACCGGCACAGAAACGGTGGGCGGATATATCTCGAGTGATGCAATACCGGCGTTGGTCTCGGCGAGAGCTTCTTCAAAACACTCATCATGTTCAGGTCGTCGACTTCCTCGCACATGCTGTCGCTCAACGGGAGGAGGTGATGCGCGACCAGAGGGTTCGAGCACAGGGACAGGGACAGTGTTTCTCTGTCGTTTCAGCTTGTTCCCTAGTGGTTCAGGAGGAGGTTGTGGCATTTCTCGGAGCTCTCGTCGTGGAGTTGATCCAGGGCCACGATAGGTTGGGGATGAGCGTGATTGATAGTATGCCGAATCTGGTATCTCGGGCACTGCATCGGGCATGACAGGCTCAGGTGCAGGAGGCCATGCACTCGATCGGTGCGAAGCATTCATGCGCATGGGAGGCATCGGTCCGTATGCAAGATCCCGGGTGTTCATTCTGCGACGTGGCGACGGAAGTACCGGGGCTGGTACATTTTCGATATTCCAGCTGGCGGGAGGTGTCGGATTTCGTTTTGGACTCGGCGAGGATCTCACGTGTCCCCTTAATGCTGGAGGACGAGGGCCGGGGAGATAGGGCGCGTCATTGCTGAGATCGCGCCCACAGGATCCGCACCACCGAGTGGCATATTGACCACCGCAGTTGCGGCATTCATACAGGTCCCCGTTACGTCCAGGATAGATCGGCAATGCGGGAGAATTTGCGTATGGGCTTCCGGACCAAGACGGAGGCGGGCCTGGGTATGGAGGAGACGTCCAAGCGGGCGGAGGGGTGTATGGAGTGCCAGGATAGGGACTAGCGATCGGATAAGGGCTGCCATATGGATACGCCCTCGGCGAGCGGCGCGGGGTAGGCGGTGCGGGGTTCGCCACACCGCAACCCGGAGTTGTGCAGTGTGGTATTCCTTCGGGTTGCCAGCAGCCACAAGAGGGACAATGCTTGAAGGATTGCGGGAGAGAAGCCATGTTAGAAGCCGAATAGTTATGCAATAAGAACAGATGTGGCAAAAAAGAAGAGGCGTGGTCGATGAGCAGGATGTCAGGTACGAATTCAAGAACGATTTCAGAAGTCGTTATATGCTGTTGATAGACAATCGTCTCCGCGTGTATTCGAAGGCCCGTGGTGCGGCGGCAATGAGGCGACAATCGGACTTGGCCCAATGGAGCCGAGTGTAGCAATTACTGTACATAACAATGTTACCTGGTCCTGATTGTGCTTGTGCTCCCTGGAGTCTCTTTGTGCAGACAAGGAGGCGGTAGGAGACAACGGTGCCTGAGTTCGGGAGCGTAGGAACAGTTGTCTACCGTGCGAATTCACGGCAGTTTTAGCCGCAACAAGAGTGCATGATAGTAATCAGGTTGGGTTGCGATTCGTATTATCGTGCACGTTGTGTAGGGTCGTTTTGAATGTTAGCGTCAACAATGAACCATGTCACCGTTCGATGATGGCCTCTGGAAAGAAGTCAAACGGTGTCAGTCGGCTTTGCTGTGCCTTGTGGCTGTCCTCCGGTAGCGTGGATCGAGGAAAGGTCATGACCGATGATTGTCTATCCCACTCCGTGATGACCTAATTTTCTTGATGTCGTGCTCGTTGTTGCAGTAGTGATAGCTCTAGCTCATTTGTTTCGGAAACCATTTCAATCGGTCAGATTTTTCCTAATCGGGGAATCACGGAAACAAAAGAAGACAGGCGGAAGCACATCAACGCGCTTGCGCGTCCTGAGCGCTGAGGCGTCTCCTTGGACTAAGTGACCCAAGGGACGCGCATACATCTGTCTATCTCTCTATGTCGTCCTCTCCTTCCAAAATGAACACATTCGTATCGCGTTTTGCACCAAGCTCATCGGCACTCCCTCACTCAAAGGGCGCCATTGCCGTCGAAGACGATGAAAAGTACTCTGACCTCACCTGGGGTTCGCAAGCCGGCTTTGGCCACCTGGGAACCAAGGGCATCCCGTCTTTCAAGGTGCCCAGCCTTGCTGACGTGCGTGAATCCCCTGTCCGGTGTTCCTGGCACCTTATGCAACTGATGGTACCTCACAACAGCCTTCTGCATTTCTCCGCATGCATACGGACGACTATGCAGACCCCAGCTGCCGCATAAAGATCCAACATGGTACAACGACCCTCGCGTTTCGCTTCAAAGGTGGTATCATTGTGGCCGTTGACTCTCGTGCGACGGCAGGAAGCTACATTGGTCAGTTTCGAGATGCTGGGTCTTGCTTCGTATTCTGATCATGCATACAGCTTCCGGCACGGTGAAGAAGGTCATTGAGATCAACCCGTACTTGCTGGGTGCGTATTGGTTAACCTGCAAGCTCTCACATCGTTGACACTCTATTAGGTACTATGGCTGGTGGTGCTGCAGACTGCCAGTACTGGGAGACGTACCTGGGTATCGAGTGCCGACTACACGAACTTCGTAACCGAGAGCGTATCTCCGTAGCAGCGGCGAGCAAGTTCCTGAGCAACCTCGTGTACTCGTACAAGGGCATGGGATTGAGCATGGGAACCATGATCTGCGGTTGGGATAAAACTGTATGCGTCTTTGTCTTCTACAGAACGTCTGGATCAATCCTAAACCTTTGACAGGGTCCCGCATTGTTCTACGTCGACTCTGACGGCACCCGTCTGAAGGGGGACATCTTCTCAGTTGGATCTGGCTCGACATACGCATATGGTGTGCTGGATCAAGGATACCACTGGGATCTGAGTGATGAGGATGCACAAGAACTTGGCAGGAGAAGTATCTATGCGGCTGGGCATCGTGACGCCTACTCTGGAAACACCATCAACCTGTACCACGTGAAGGAGCAAGGGTGGGAGTTCCTTGGTAAGTCTTTCGTGGTGGGCCAGATTATATGCATGTTGATTGCTATGGCACAGGAAACTACGATGTCACAAAGATGCATTACGATGGTCCAGGGAATGTTCCTGGCGCCACAGGTGGTGGATACGGCTACGAGGTCAGGACTGCGGGTCGGAGTGCATCAGATGCAGATGCTATCGATACATCCGCGTGAAAGCATGTACAATGACGATGATTTCATTCACTTTCCCGTCATTAAGACGAACCCTGTCCTACGGCTGACCGGGAAAATCTCGCCAGCCCGAGTAAATGAAGTTGGAGAAGTATGCCGGTGTTGTACTATTCACACCATTGCCCGTGGCGAACATACCTATGATTGTCTGCGAACCATAATGAGCTGAAAGAACGCTGGCGACATGTGAGTACTCACTCCGACAAATCCCCCGCTCACTTGAGTCGCGTCACCGCCGCCAATGTCGTTCCAGATGCCCGAGCCTGTTTCAGACCAACTGAAGAGGTACCTGGACTCATTCGGCGCCTGCACGCGAAGCGTAAGCTTAACTGGTTCGCCTAGTGACACGTTAAGAGGAAAGATCATTGGTGTCGAGATGGGGTCGACGGTGCCTTGATGTGTCGAATTAACCGTGACGGCGCGCAATCGGATATAGCGTGAAAGCTGGCTACTGTTTCCGGCAGCGGGGTATCCTTGCTGACTGGCAGACGAGGCGGACAGCGAAGCTACGCCCAAGTCGAAGTGCTGCGCCTGCTGTAGGAAGACGGTCAAGCCTGCCTCTTCGCCATCCAGCTGGGGGTCAAAGTCAAGGTCGACCATCGACTCGAACCTCACTTGAGTTTGCCTTCTGCCGACAAAGGTCGGGTTACCTGTCCGACCGTCTGTGCCTGTCAGATTCCGCCAGCTCCCGAGCAATGACAGGGAGTATGGATGTCCATCAAGAGAGACTGCGTACTTGGACGTATCCGGAATACGAAGGTAGAGGTAATGTGCTGGGAGGGTCGAGCCAGGCGCGAAGAGCTCCCATTCATCTGCTCCAGCCAGATGACCCGTGGCCTGCTCATAGGCGAGCGATTCACTGTCGATAGCAGACTCGCTCGGTGAAAGAGGACCTTGCATCTGCACGTGTGTATGACCAATTATCCCGTCGTTGATTACGTGTGTATGACCAATTATCACGTCCCCTAGCTCGTGAGAGTAGGGTTCTTACTCGGGTTGGCTCGGGATCAAAATGCTGACAGCAGAAATGGTATGGTAACTCCATGGAAACGTGTTAATTTCCTCATTTGTATTCAGATTCCGTGTCCTCGGCATAAGAGCTAGGGTTTTGCCGGCGCTCAGCACGGCCCCTTTCTCGGTGATTATCGGCCAATCCCCAGACCAGTCGACAGGTACCATCACTGTCTCTCGACCCATCGGGTAGTTTTTCGTCCCATTCCGTGTAGCCAGTGCTACTGCCCAGTAGTTGCCGGCCGTGTCGTTGAATATGTCCGCGTGACCCACAGTCTGCACTGCACAAAACCTGTAAGGAGCAGATAGTGAACATGGGTATTGCCATACAGTACAAAGTCGTGTTGGCATTTGTCAAGACTGGATTCTGCTCGTATGGTTCATCCGGTGATATTCATCGCTCTCGCCATAGTAGCCATATGGCTAAGTCCAGTCCCGCCTTCAGCAATCAATAGATAGTACCAACCATCCTTCTTGTAGATGTGTGGACCTTCAGGACCGCCAGTTCCATTCCACATCATGACTGGATCACCACTCAGCGACTGCCCTGTAGATAGATCGATCTGATATTGTTGAATCTGAGGATAAATCTGCCATGCATGACTACCCTGCACCCAAATCTTGCCATCGTAGTCCCAGAAGAGGGAAGTATCATAGCCTGGAAAGTAAAAGTGGATCGGATCTGACCAGCCGTTAGGGTTACCGATTGGGTCTGGGTTTGTGAACAAGATCTGGACGGGCGGACGCTGAGCGAGTGGCCGGATGCAGCGCGATGCAGCTTACGTTGTCCCACCGCGACAGATTCTGCTGAGACATATTGTCGTAAACCAAGGTTGTCGTCACGTAGAACATCCCATCATGCTCGCGTATTGTAGCTGCCCAAACACCACTAGTGCTACCATTGGTGTTTGCTAGCCCTGGGAGCTGCTCCTGACGAGATATGACATTGCCTGCCATCAGTCAGTCCTATTGCATGCTGAGATTGCTTGAACACTGACCAATCTGCTTGAAGTGCTGCAAGTCTCGAGACGCGTAGACCGGAATGCCGGGGAACGCATTGAAGGACGAGTGCACGCAGTAGAACGTCCCATCGACTCAAATACAGCTCGGATCAGGGGAGAACCTGGGAATGATTGGATTGATGTAATCCTTGAGTGCTTGCTTGGGCAGGATAGAGATTGAGCTTGTCAAGGCGCTGGCCGCACAAACAAGAGCGCCAAGAACAGTCCGCAGTATCTTGACGAAGCAAGGACGACGTCGCCTTCACCAAAGAAGCGGTCTCCATTTTAAGTACGTCGTCCTGAGAACCAGAGCTTGGTTCCAGCGGTCCGCTCGCTGGAGCATGCACCACGAGTGCGGCTGGACATGCGTACGATGTAGAAGACAGATCAAAAAAGGCATCGCGAGAGAATAGAGAAGAACGCTCATCACTTCTCAATCAGACGGATTAGCCCGTAGCCCCAGTTGGCAACCAAGGGTGATGGGCCGATGCAGATGTCGAGTCGTCAATTTGGGAGAAGGTCGCCGCCGCGGGCCAATCTACCCCACATATAGGCCACATAGATAGTCTAATGGAATCAAATTCCGGTGCCTTAAGGCTGCGCAAGGGTCCTGCACTGCCACTCCTGCCACAAACTCGATAATACTGCAGGACCTCGGTCCAGCATTCTGCCGTTGGACCCACGCCGTAGACCCATCTCAATGCCTGTTCAAACGAAGCATTCTATGTGATCGCAGCTAGAGCTACAGCACAAATGTGCGATGCAGAAGTCTATGTCTAATTCTCGGTCTTATCCTGACGGATCCCAGCCTCCTTCGCCAACCCATAGAAAAGGGAATCTTTGTTTTGTAGCAGCTCTTCCGGGGCTGCAAACTCGGCCACTCGTCCCTCTTTCATTACCAAGATCCGGGTCGAGTCCATCACGGTATTCAAACGATGAGCAATCGTCAGGATGGTTCGGGCGGCGAACTCTTGTCGAATCACCTGCTGAATGTGCGCATCGGACTCGACATCAACGGCCTGAACCCTTTGTTAGTCTGCATCAAAGAAAGGTGGAGCCACAACGTACAGCAGTGGCTTCATCCATCACAAGGATCTTGGTATCCTTCAACAAGGCACGTGCTAGGCAGACGAGCTGCCTTTGACCGATGGACATATTCGAGCCACTTTCACTTACGCGAGCATCCAGCTTGCCTTCCATCTGACCAATGAAATCGCTCAGTTGCACACTCTCCAATGCACTCCAGATACGGCTGTCCTCGTAGATGCCCTCGGGATCAAGGTTTTGGCGGACAGAGCCTTCAAACAGCTGAGGATCTTGTGGGATGATGCTCAGTCGTGAGCGGAGGTCGTACAACCCCAGCTTGATGATGTCCACACCGTCGATGAAAATCGTACCCTCCGCCGGTTCGATGATCCGATACAACGCCAATGTCATAGTCGACTTGCCAGCACCGGTACGGCCCACTATACCGATCTTCTCGCCTGGCTGGATATCCAATACCACATCCTTGAGAACAAGGTTGCCATCCTTCCGGTATCGAGTCGAGTAGTGTTCGAACTGGATGCGACCGTGCTCAGGCCACGCAGGCTCCGGAGTCTTCTCTGGCAATTCGTACGGCGCCTCAGGCTCCAGGGCAGCATACTGCTCCAAGCGCTCGATGGAGACGGCATTCGTCTCGATTTCGGTGGCGGAGCGTACCATCCAGTTCCTTAGAAATGTCAGTCAGAGCACAGGCCCAAAGATGAAGTAGCATACAGTGAGCCAGTGACGGAGGTAGCATAGGACATCATCAGACCGACAAGACCCGCGCTCACTCTACCAGTGATGACGCTCCACGTAGCGAGCACAGCGCTGATGAGGATGATACAGCTCCCAAGGAATTCAAGACGAACCGCAAGCCAGCGATTGCAAGTGAAGGAAGGGAAGTACGCCTGTTGGTTTGCATCTACGCGAGCCTCGTTCTCCGCGATGAACCGCTTCTGCTGCCTGAAGGCGCGAATCGAGGGTAAGCCACCGAGCGTCTCCTGGAACGAGGCGAAAACGGGACTGCGGGAAACAGCATCGAGGCGCTTGAGTTCCCGGCTAGAGGCAAGGTAGTACCGCTGAATCTGCCGGTAGACAAAGAACATAGGGATGACAAAGAGCAGGAACGGCGGGGAGGAGACAGCGAGGACGAGGATGGTGCTGAATACCGAAGCGAACGTGCGGAACGCAGAGCTGAAAACGCGCGCGAGGGATTCGTCTACCACTGCGACGTCCCGGCTTGCGACGTTGAGGATCCGACCGACGGGCACGGTCTCGAAGAAGGACATGGGCGAACGCATCAGCGCTTGGAACATGTTCTCGTGGAGCTTGACGGCAGCGCGCAGGGTGCAGAAACACCAGAGAAGGATGCTAGAGAGGAAGGAGAGGACCTGGGACGAATGAGGAATGAGTTTCTGCGTACTGCGTAAAGCACGCAACTGGCTAACTTACGCAGAACGACAAGCCGAAAGCGAAGAAGATGCCGAGGTAGAAACCCTTGTCCCCGTTGTCCCCGCTGCACAGGTTATGCTCTCCCCAAGCCTTGAGCCACAAGTTCTGTCCAACCTGAGCAGCCTGCATAAGGCACATCGCTACGAAGAAGCCGATAAACCCCGGGATAGAGCACGCCTTGAGGTACTCGGTATACACTGGCAAGCGGATCAGCATGAGCCGGGGGATAAGCCAAAGCCGACGCCGACCGACCTTTCGCACCAACAGACCCAACAGCACGTATCTCCTTCGAGCTCATGCTAGCCTTAGAAACCTCCATGATCTCCCTCTTCCTCTCTCCCGTAGAAAGTACCGAAGCGCGACGCAACGTAGCGCGACTAAACCTCCGGGAAAAGTTCTCCTTCCCAAACCCACGCGCTTCCTTCTCCGCCATCGTCTCGTCGCTCTCCTCGTCCTCCTCCGCATCAGGGACGATCGTCTCCGTCTCGAGCTCCTCCTCCTCAACCCGGCGCACACTCTGCGCCTTCATCTTCCCAAACTCGTTCAGCAACCTATAGAGGTCCGACCGCGCCGCCATCACCTGCCTGAACGTACCCCGCTCAACGATGACCCCATTCCGAATCATGAGGATGTTATCCGACTGCTGGACGAACGGGATCGCGTTGGTAATGAGCAGCCTGGCCTTGGAAGCGAGCAGTCCTTGGGGGCCGATCACATGGTCGAAGATGTGTCTTCCGACATGTGCGTCCACCGCGCTGAGCGGGTCGTCGAGGATGAAGATATCCGCTCGGGAGTAGACGGCTCGAGCGAGGGATATGCGTGCCTTTTGGCCCCCGGAGAGGGAGACACCTCGTTCCCCCACAGCGGTGAGGTCGCCTTCGGATAGGATGGCGAGATCTTCTCTCAACCCGCAGGCCTCGATCGTCTCCTGATAAAATGCGTGCTCGTACCTGTGCCCGAAGGTGATGTTCTCCCTGACGGTGCCGCCCATGATCCACGGTTGCTGGGGTGCGAAGGCGACGCTTCCCCGTAAGACGACAGTTCCTTCAGTCTTGATCATCTCCCCCAAGACGGCAGCAGCGAGGGAGGACTTGCCGCTCCCAACCCGGCCAACGACAGACACCAGTTCGCCCTTGCGCAGCTCAAGGTCGACGTTGAGCAGCGTCGGCTCATTCTGGGAGCTAGACCACTTGAACTCCCCATCCCGCACCGAAACGAGCGTGTCCCCCTGTGCGGCCGTAGGGAACGGCTCGAGCTTGACCGCGTCGGTTTGGAGCTCTGTGCCGCTCAGGAAGGACTCGAGTCGCCCGATCGCGACTGAAGCCTCGACGAAAGAGGTGATAACGGAGGCGAACATGGCCATCGGGAACTGGAGCAGGCTGAAGAGGGATATAGCGGGGAAGATGATATCCGACGTGAGTGGTTTCTGGCCAGTATCAGTCAGCTATGGCGCACTAAGAGGAGAAAGACGGGAGAGACTCACATCGCTCGTAAGCACATAGATCGTAAACGTCGCAAAGCTCACCAGCACGGGTACGCTGCCCCAAAGCAGCACACTCGCCGCATTCACAATCCCAATCTTCATGAGCATCCTTACCTCTCTCTCCTCTCTAATATCCCTCAGCCTGCGGCCAAACGCGTACTCCCAGGCGTAGAGCTTGATGCTCCGTATATTCGCTAGGATCTCGCTCATGAGCCTCGTACGCGCGTCCTTGTTCGCCATCTGCCGCTGTTGCAGTTTCTTCTGATACCGCGCTACGAGCGTGTTGAGCGGGATGAAGACGATGATGATCGCTACGCCGCTGAGCATGCTCCAGCCCATGAGGTTGTACAAGCTTATGAAAGCGAGGATGATCTGGAACGGGCCGGACCAGAGGATCTGGGCATACGTGCATAGGTCCTGCAGACGCATCACATCCACACTCTGGAGGTTGACGATATCCCCCGTTGCGCGCGCCCCGCGCTCGTCGTTAGACAACACGAGCGCTTTCTTGTATATGGTCGCAACGAGGCCCGCGCGTACCCGCATACCGACTTCGAAACAGCGCTGGAAGTACTGATGCAGGCACATAGTCTGCGTCACCGCTACTCCAAACATGCATAGCGCGATCAAGTACCCGCGGTACGGGTCCGGCTTGACGTCTTCCCCTTGCTCGGGGTGGGGAGCGCTTGTGCGCGCTTCTTCCCACGTGTTGACGTATTGCAGTAAAAGGCGGAGCATCTGCGGCTGAGCGTAGCTCAGACAGTCCTGGAGCATCTTCAGCCCCGCAGCGGTGATCATCGGTCCTCCATACGCTCTTAGCAATGCAAGACTAAGACTGGGTCTGCCCCGGGGTTTCCGTTTCTCCTTCCCCCATTCGGTCTCCAGCACCCGGGAAAGGGTCTCCCCCTTATCGCTCGGGCGCAGGGCCCAGAGATCGTCTTCCTCCAGGAACTTGCGGTAGCCTTTGACCATGAGCGGGGTCATCCAGCTGAAAGTTAGGTGCTGGAAGATGTTTGCGCGGGAGACGGGGCAGGGTAGGAGGTCGACGGATGACGTTGGGCCGGGGAGGGGGTGTAGGGGGCCGGCGTATTCTGCCACGAAGAGGGAGAGGAGGAGCAGGAGGGTGAGGATGGGGAGAGGGAGTGGGGGGAGAGGGGGGGAGGAGGAGAGCGGTGTGAGCGAGAAGAGGAGCAGGAGGGATTGCAGGAGGTAGAAGATGAGCAGCGCGGTGCTCCCGGCGAGCGAACGGTTGTGCTCGAATCTCGTCAGAGGGAGGCATGAGATCTACGCAAGGGTAAGGGGAGTGGACGTCAGGGTAGGAAGAGAGGACGCACGTATGCCAGGAGCAGGGTAATGCTCGTGTAAAGGCGCTCGTCGCCCAATGGACTTGGGCTGCGGAGTCCGGTGAACACGACAGAGAGAGTTTGTACGCCTATGAGAGCGGCAAGAAGTGCCTGATAAGGGGTTAGAGAGGTGATTCTGATGGTTAAGAGAGACGCACGAGTTTGAGGGCATACAACCTCGTACCAGCGACAGACAGTGGCAGATCTTTCTTTCCTCTTAAACTAGCTGTCATATGGTCAGCCTGTGCATATATATAGCAAGAACACCGAGCGTACCAGCAGCGACGAGGCCTGCGATGAGAAGCCAAAGAACGGGAAGTGCGCCTCTGAGTACGGCATCTTCGAAGCACGGTGCCAGTCCAAAGTTGAGGGTAGGGTCGTTTCCCCCTCTAGGGAAGAGAAGAGGACCCCAGCCATGTACTGGGTCTTGGGGACATAACGCCATCTGTGAGGAGAATAGCGAGCAAGGGAGAGCCTTTGCTTGCTGTTACGCGCCTTTTTCACCTATGAAAAGTGGGAGAGAGAACGCTGATTCAGGCGTCAGAGTCTTGTTTTCCTACGATGTATTTCATCGGAGGCGTCTCCCCATTGGTGGATACAGGCCGTACCGCCCGCTCACCGACAAATCCACTTTACGCTCAATCACGTGGATGGAGGCTTGGTAAGCAATCAAGCTTTTGTGAAGAGGGGGAAAGGGTTGACTCACTTTAACGCCGATCGGAGACAAGGGGAATGAATACGTGGCGGTGCTATGACGGCAGAGTTACGTTCTCATCGAGTTACGAACAAGGGCCGAACCCTCATGAGTGCTTCGCGACCGCTGGCCCATCCACCGCAGGCAACGCGCCACGCTACTAGAATTTTCGCTTTTAGGAGAGGAAACATGGGAAACCGCATACCCAAGGTGCGGGATGTACGTCTTGGTTGGATAATAATAAGGAGCGAGTGCGGTGCTGGTGCGTTGCTGGCTATGAACCAGACCGGAGGTTCCGGAGAGGAGGCGAGGAATGAAAGTAAAGTTTTACAAAAGGCATGAATGAACAAAAGGGAACGACGAACGTGTATTGATCTATTTAAGAGGTGTGATAAGAGAAGAGGAAGAGCATGCAAAGTGTACCGGCAGAAGGAGAAGGAACACGTCACTGCTTCGTACGGTATTTACTATTCTGCATCGTGGTACGCCTTTACTATCTTCTGTCAACGTTGACCGATCAACCTGCCGATCAACCTGCCGATCAACCATCCGATAACCATTAATATTCTCTCTCACCGCTCATTTCTATCAAGCATATCTTAGCCACTGGCTGGCATCCAACACCCCCCATCTCATCGCAGCACATCATGCACCTCCTCCCCCTCCTCCCCGCCCTCCTCCTCCTCCTCCCTTCCCTCGCACAACAAGCCCTCAACGAACCACCCGACAACACCCTCTACCTCGGCGCATGGCTCGACACATCCTCCGACTCGCCCCAATCATTCAACCAGCGCCTAGGTCAAAACACCCCCTGGTTCCAGTTCGCACAGACCATCCCCGCTGGAAATCTCGACGAAGTCACTGGACAGGGTGGTATCGTTAACGCTAGCTTGGTATGGGAGACAGGCACGGACGCCGGCGTGTATGTCACTGTCTACCCTACACAGGGGTTTGCCGCTATCCAGGAACAAGATGTACGTCTCCCCCTCTCCCCCTTCCTCTCACTCACTTTCCCTCCCCCCTCCCTCAACTCACTAACACATACCAGTGGGCAGCCCTCGGCGTCCAACTCCAGACCTACGTCCTCCTGGGGCGCGCCGTCTTCCTCCGTTTCGCACCCGAGATGAACGGCAACTGGGACATCTGGGGTATCCAGCCCACAGCGTTCAAGCTCGCTTGGAGCACGATGTACTCCATCCTCAAGTCCTCCTGTCCTAGCTGTGCGCTCGTCTGGTCCCCTAACGCTAGTCCCGGGTACCCGTACTCTATCCCTCTGGACTCGGTCGTCTCTCCCCAGGACCGGCTTGCCCTGGATACGGATAACGATGGTCAGCTGACGTCGGCGGACGACGCTTACGCGCCCTATTACCCCGGGAACGAGTTCGTAGACTGGGCAGGAGTGTCATATTACTACAAAGGCATCTACCCGAATAGTTATAACGTCCTCCCCGGTCCAGGGACCGTAGAAGCCGCACTGACGGGGTACGCACCCCCCGAGCTCGAAACGCAGGATGCGACGCAGTACACTCCTTTTTACTCGACATACTGTACGAACCTTCCATGCATGTTCTCCGAGTCGTAAGCCCCCCTCCTCCCCCTCCTCCGCTCAGCGCTGGCAGCTAACGAACAACAGCGGCGCGGCATGGCACTGGAACACCACTAGCCAACCGGCGAGCTACGTCGAGCCCTCGCACACAGCAGTCCAACAAGCCTGGTGGTCCCAAGCCCTAACCAACAGCACCTTCCTCTCCCAATACCCAAGACTAAAACTGCTCATGCTCTTCGAATGGTCAAAAGTAGAAACAGACAGTAACATAAGCACGCTGCGCGATTTTAGGCTCTCGAACGCGAGCGAGGTCCTCTCTGCTTTCCAGGAAGATCTAGCACCGGTGCTGCAGAGGTATGTTTGGGCTTCACCCAGAGGAGAGCAGGGGCCACAGGGCATCCCACAGGGTCAGGTACCAATGCCTCTGCCAAGCTTGACACGGGCGATGCCCTACCGCCAACCGACGCCTTCGAGCCCGAGTCTGTTCTGGTCTGCGGCTTAGCCCCCCCCC